AAGAACAGCAACAGCAGGAAGCAATGTTCATTGCTCAAACATGTCAAGAAGCCTTTGGCTAAACTCCCAGTCTACGGAACTCCTGGGAACTGGAGATACAGAATGATATGGTCAGACCCCAGATATGGGATAGTCATAGTCAGGGATTGTCATAGTCAGTGGAACCCACAGTCTCTCAATAGGCAAGAGGCAGGAGGAAGGTGAAACGTTTCCCCCAGATTAAAAGATTTGAACATTTTAGCAATCAAACAGGCTGCGGGGGCAGGTAGACGCGATGTCATAAGCAAGCAGCATTAGCTTCCCTAACATCTCTACACCTACGTCGTCATCTGTACAAGGATGATGGTACTCTATTTCACAGAGACGTTGTATAGGTGAGCCAAAGAAAATGCCAAAAACTTAAACACAGAACCTGAGATTAAGTGTTCATAACAAGTAGGCTTCGATGCCTCTGGAGATCTGTGGGTTGACCACACTTTACCTGCCAATGGAAATCCTTATCTCTACAAATGATACCCAACATAATATATAGGAAGTGTTATCTTCTCCCCCCGCCCCGCCGAAAAATAGTTCCCCTCACATTCACCTCATCCTGAGATGAGGCTGGAGGGGAAGCCTGCATAACCACGTTCAACAGATGTTGATGGGCCCAGTTTAGTCAGCTGCCAGCACTCACATCTGTCTCTCTGCCTCAGCATTTGTCCACCCATGAGAGGCCATTCTGACCTCATGTCTGTGGCCCTGTAGAAGTTCTAGAGGACTAATATCTATTCGTTGGTCCCCTACCAGTGACTGACCAGGAGTTTGGTCACCCTGTGATGAGTGTCTCTGAAGCACGCCATACTGCCCCCCTCTGACTCAGTGTTAACCTTTCCTCGTGGTGTGCTATGCTGATGATACCTCTGCTTTTCCCTTTTTCTCCTCTCCCAAGTCTCCTCCTCCACCTGCTGCCTATTTTCTAGTATAACCTTCCAAATAAACCACTTATGCTCAAATCTTGGTCTAAGGGAACCCGTACCACCTAAGTGGGTTTGAACTCTACACTGAGAGGGCAGTGGGCAGCTATGCAAGCTCTCCCTGAGTGATGGCTCCTCTGAGCTCTGAGGTGGTTGGTCCCTGCTTTCCGCTGTACAGGCTAGCTTTCAAATCCAGTCAGCTCAGCAACAGCCTTCCTGTTCATCTTTACCAGCTTCTTTACATATGACACCCTACACAACCTATGGGATGTGTCATTTCCTATTTAACTACCTTCAAATCTGTGCCAGGGGACTCACCCCTGGGAAGGAAAAAAATACGTGTTGTCACACTGTATTGATAAAGAGAATCCCAAACCCTCTGCCTTGCTGTGCTGGCTAATTTTATGTCAACTTGAAACAAGATCCTGTCGTCTGAAAGGAGGGAATCCTCAAGAGAGAAAATTTTGCACAAGACCTGCTGTAAGCAAGCCTGTAGAACATTTTCTTAATTGGTGATTAGTGGGAGAGGGCCCAGTCCATTGTGGGTGGTGGCATCCCCTAGGCTGGTGGTCCTGGGTTCTTTAAGAAGGCAGGATGAACAAGCCAGAGAGAGCAAGCCAATAAGCCACAGCCCTCCATGACCTCGGCATCAGCTCCTGCCTCCATGTTCCTGCCCTATTTGAGTTCCTGTCTTGACTTCCTTCAGTAATGAACAGTGATGTGGAAATATATGCCAAATAAACCCTTTCCTCCTCAAGCTGTGTTTGCCCATGGTGTCATCAGAGCGATGATAACTTAAGACCACTTGCCTATCTATATTCAAGCCGCTTGCCCATGAGCAGCCGAGAAGATCCAGACGTGGTGGTAAACAACAAGAGCAGGAAGCTGGTCTAATCACCAATGAGGCTTTGTGCATGGCACTTGGGAATACTAGAGGGTCTATGTGGATACTACGATAGAAAAGTCTCTGACAACAAATCCTTCAGTAGAACTTGTAGCACATACACACCCTGCAACACTTCCGTGTAACTGACATGTTTTGCTGTCTCATGAGAGGCAGATGGGGCCTGTTGTTCTATCCATCCATAGGTAAAGTCAGAAACTCCAAGACCTGTGATCTTTCCCAGGCCTTAGGTTGGTAGCAAGGAAGCAAGCTGAAGATCAGCAAATCTTTGCTTCTATTGTTTTGCTTCATAATAACGCAGATCGGCTTTCTGAATACAAAACAAAAACTGGCAGGAAGTTTCTCTGGAGCCCCGAGAGAGATCATGGAGTTAGAGTTGGGTGTCGTCGTGGGGATATAAATTCTGCCACTAAGGAAAATAATAAATAGCACCAGAGCAGTGGGAATACTGCGCCAGCAGCAGCTCTGCCAGAGAGCAGAAGCCCTCTTCTCCCTGCTGTGCCAAGTGCCCCAGGCCAGGGGGGCTCTTAGCACCTGGACAAAGAATACCACTGCCATTCAGGGGACCAGAGCAGAGAGGCTGGCATGGTGGCACTGCCTGGCATTACATTTAATGAAAACTAAGCAGAGAAAGGAAAGAATGGGGAGGAGAAGCCTTCTAAGGCAGGTCACACATATGCTGTCCTCTAAACTTTGCATCAGCCTTGGCTTTGCCTTGTTTTGTTAACTTAAAATACAGGCTTTCTTAGAGCCTGGTGACCTCCTTTCTTGGGCTAATCCTGGTGCCAACGTGTTTTAAAACACATGATTGACAGGTGGAAACTTCCAGCATTCCTGTTTCCTAGCAATGACCAGAGTGACAGTGATGATAACTGGAGCCTTTCTCTGGACCACATAGCCCACCATGAACCCTGGCATATCTGATACATCACACTCGTACCCACTCTGCCACTGTCTATCCTGGGAGCTAAAAGCTCACATCTCCACTGCTAGAACATACTTAAAATGAAAGAGAGGGAAATGGAGAAGAAAAAGAAGGGAGGGAGGGAGGGAGGGAGGGAGGGAGGGAGGAAGTTTTCTAAGGATATATTTTAAAAGCATCATAAGTAAAGGTTAATACTTCCAATGAAGAAAATCATGCAAAAAAATCTTTCATCAAAGTAAATCCCTTAGCAATCCCTTTTAAAAAATTTATCCACTGGCTGCACATCACATGGTAACCTGATTTTAATATTGACCTCAAGGATGGATTTATAGGCCAAAGATGCTGATTTTACTCAGCTGAACTCATTTAGCAGCCTCTACAAGAAGCCTCGGCATGCTGCTTTGGCTGAACACTGTCCAAACCAAGTGGGTCTTGGCTGCATGGTTACCTTGCACCCAATGTGTAGATAAATACAGGGAGAAGTCATCACTGGCAGGAACATTAAGGTTTGGATCGTACATCAGCCCTGCTTAGCTGGCAACTGAACACATAATTCACATTGCTGCGAAGCCTCCTGTGATGGCTTGTCCGTTACACATCCATTGCAGGAGAGGCTGTAAGTGTATTAGAGCCCAATTTGGGAATCCTACAAGCACTTGGGATTTATACTCTATTGACTGAGTGTACAATAATTAATCCATGGATGAAATTAAATACAACCCTAAGGAATATTTATGTGCAGGGTGTCTTAAATTCTGAGGACGTCTGTGACAATCACATGCCAACGGAACAAAAGACAGTTTAACTAGCCTGACCAGAGACAGCAACCTCTCCAGCCTAGACTGCTGCCTGACCATGAGTCTTGTGCCTCGTATCCTGGGCTCTCTGTATCCGGTCCTACATCATAGATCCAACCTTGCTTCAATGGAGGAATGGTTTAAGCAAAAGTCCAAATGTGCAGATATATTTCCTGTCATCCATAAACATTATAGTAAAATTCTTCTCCATATAGCATGATATTGTATTTGGTGTTATAAGTCATGTAAAGTACACATGATTAGCTGAGTATATGGGGTATATTTGCCAGTTAAATGTAAATACTTTGTAGGTTTTATTACATTTATTAGTGTGTGTGTATATGTGTTCTGTGCGTATGTGTGTGTGTGGATAGTGTATGTGCACGTGTGAACAGTGAGTGCCATGACCTGCATTCATGCATATGAAGGTCAGAGGACAACTTCCAGGACTTGGTTTCTCCTCCCATCATGATCAAATTCTGATCCTTATCTTAGGAGCCATCTTGCCAGCTAATTTTGCAATTTTTTATAAGGAATTTATGGATCCCCAAGTTTTGGTCCTCCAGCCAGTCTCCAGGAGATACCAAGGGGCAACTACACTCAATACCCAACTGTTGTTACCTATGGCTCATTTAAAAACAGAGCCTTCTTTGCTCAATATTAGATTGCTTAGACTTTAAGCTTTACTCCTCATTAATAAACAGTGCCAGTCGCTGGTTGTCTGGTCTCTTACATGCTACTGTAGCAACAGTTTCCTGTGAGATTCATAGAAATCAATCTAGCATTCTTTATCCTGGGTATATCCCTTCTCTTAGCAAAGGGTGGGGCCATGAGAGTGGATGATTAGGAGACGTCAAGGGTTCAAATTACAGCCCCGACCCCGAGGACAGAGCTGTACGTTTTTCACCCAAGAAGAAAATCTCTTGCTGGCTCTAACCTGTTCTAGGTTGTTGGATTTTTGTTTGTTTGTTTGTTTTGTTTTTTGTTTTTTGAGAGGGTTTCTCTGTAGCTTTGGAGCCTGTCCTGGAACTAGCTCTTGTAGACCAGGCTGGGTTCAAACTCACAGAGATCTGCCTGCCTCTGCTTCCCGAGTGCTGGGATTAAAGGCATGCACCACCACCCAGCCGGTTGTTGGAATTTTTTAACTCTGCTCAGCTACTATTTCTTCCCAAAGTGTTTGCTATGAAAGGGCAGCTCTCGGACTTCCCTAAAGCCCTCTCTGCATCTCAGTTAACAGTCTAGCCTTGGATATTTGTTTAATGATCAATAGAAGTTTCTGGCCCTGCCAGCGAGTTTTTCAGTAGAATAACCAAGTCAATGTTTAACCGCATTCTTTAGTTCTGGAATGGCAAAGTAGAAGTTGGAGGGAAGTCTCCATGGAAACGAGCCTCCCAGGAAGTGGCCAGAGAAGTTAGTGTCGGGGGACAGAACTGGAAGGATGTCATGAAGGAAACACCTGTTTTGGTAAGCTGAGGTGATCTCCTGAAAATACTGAACTAAATCAAACTCCATATGGACCGCCAAGCCCCCCCCTCATGATTTTCTTCTGAATATCTTTAAGAGAAATGGGCCTGGGCCACTCCAAGCATCAGTCTCGGGTGATCAAAGTCACACCTTTACAAAGCCAAGAGGCGGAGACTCCCTCAGCTGGCCCTGTGTTCTACGCATTAAATCGGAACCTGGAAGAAAAGAACTCATACCCATTCTCGAGACTGCAGGACCAAAATCTAGCTCTAGAAAGACAGCTACCACCTCTCCGAGAAACCTGGTATGGAAGACATCCTGCAGGTACACCTAAAACCAAATGTGACATTTGCATGTATGGGACTCGGGAGAACTGTGGCAGGGACTGCGGAAAGTCTAGATTATTGAGACGCAGGGCAATGCTTTCCAGTGAGGGCTGAATGTTTGTCAGCTGACTTTCTTCCAGTACATTCTAACGCTCGTGTCGATTCTGGATAAGGGACTTTTCACCCCTTTTACATAAGAAGGGAAGAAGTGTAGTCTCACTCAGTCCGTAGTGATGCCAAAGCTTGTGCCCACCTCCATCAGATCGCTGAAACGGCACAGATGTGATAGGTGGTGGCAAGAATGCTCCAGCTGGGTTCTAAATTTGTCGTTGTCTTCAGAGAGATTTAATGCATCAGGCTCTGTGGTTTCGAGAGCAGCACTTCAGGAGTAAACCTCTCCAATGTGGATTTGAAACCAACCCAAACAGAATCAGTTTACTACATGAAGAAAGCAGATGAAGTCACTGTTCCCTAACCCCATGCCCTTCACGAGCGTCCCAGAATTAAAGGAATTTTCCCCACTAGAGTGGGAAGTTCTGAGCCTGAGATGGCTCAAGTTGTTCATGTATTCTTTTCTGAAGGCCATAGTGATAATTAAACAGATTACTAACTTGGGACGAGAAATTCATGCTTATATGTGTCATCTGGCACACACTCCACATATTTGAATCATCTTTTCTCTTCTTCACACCCCACATCACTAACAAAACCGGGCTCTCCTTCCTGGACGACTCTGTCTGAACACCTTGTCCGTGTCTAGCTGACATAGCTACCCAGGGTATTTCCGTGGTTCCTTTCTGTACAAGGAAAATACTGAGTACAGTTGACTAGCACAGCTCCTCTAATGTTCTTCACTGTGGATGAGAACTTTCTCCGATGGCACTGCTTCATTTCTCTGGTTGCTTTGGTTTTGTGCTTGTCAGTGTCTCACTGTATAGCCCTGGGCTGGCCTCGAACTCTCCATGTAGCCTAGACTGGCTTACAACTCTGAGGCCTGCCTGCCTTTGCCTCACAAGTTGCTAGGATTAAAGGCATACGGTTTTATCCTCTTCCGGGTTCTAAGCTTTTGGTAGCTACATGACAAGAGCTGATTTGGGTACATTGGAGTCCCAGCTGAAAAACTGTATTTGAAAGACAAAAGTCACATTCGTTATAACAATGAATGAATGGAGAACATTCTCTACAAATACTGACTGTACCAAAGACATTTTGGGTGCTGGTTTTAAGGGTCCATGTTCTAACCCCAGCCCTACTAAATACATCATACAACCTTAGACTAGTTACTTAGCAGTTTTGTTCATCTGTGGTCAGGAGCAGAAGCGCATGTCTGGTACAGTTTTTACCATATGGGACAGTCCAACTAAAACACAGGATATCCTCATTCACATCACACATCATAGGAAGGTCCGTGTCAGAATGTGTTCTGATTGTTCAAAGAAAAGATCAGCATCCATGCAGCTTCGTCATGGCAGCACTCTTGAGTGGCCCAGTTAATAATCAAGCCAAACACAGCATGCGTAGTGTCACCATCTGAATCTCAGCAGAGCAATTCTGTAGCCCTGGCTTACTGTATGGGGAAGGACAGTAACATGCTGTATCCTAGCGTAAACTTGGGGACTGTCCCTGGTAACCTCCTATTTACTCTGAGAAGATATTTTCATTTATTAAAGTATTTTTTTCTGATTCCCTTTATTTGGGAGGAGGCTTCATGGTATTTAACTAGTGAGCTGGAGACAGAGCTCAAAGGTAGAGCATTAATCTCCTATATGTGAGACCCTGGGTTTGATCTCCAATAGAGGGGGTATAGGGGAGTTATAAGACTAATCAGTAAGTTTCTATTTTCCAGGTTAAATTCTGTGACTTTTCTAACTGCTTTTTTCCCCCAATCAACTTGGGAGGATCAGAAAAGAAGAAAACAGACTAAAATGTTCACTTACATTCATTCACTTCTTTGTGTGTCTGTTGTGGAATATGGTACACTGTGTAGAAATGTATTGTTGTGGTTGGTGTAATGAAAAGCTGAGCAGCCAATAGCTAGGCAGGAGATATGGGTGGAACTTCTGGGCAGAGAGATAACTCTGGGAAGAAGGCAGAAGTCAGACATGGAGAGGAGACAGGAGGTGTAAGATGGAACAGAGGTTATGCCACACGGCAGAACATAGCTTTACACTATGGGCTAATTTAAGTTATAAGAGCTAGTTGAGATAAGCCTAAACTAAAGGTCAAGATTTCATAATTAATACTGTCTCTAGATCATTATTTGTAGACTGGCAGTACAAAAACAGTCCAAGCAGAAAGCTTGCCACATGTGTCTTATCTGTACGTTCACCCAGTGAGTCGGGCATGTATAATTGAAGTCAGACATGTATAATTGAAGATACAAAATTGTGTAGATGACGACTACTAAACAGCGACCAGCCTAGATGTCTAGTTTAACAATAAATTGATTTTAATGCTTTATTATTGCCCCCCATCCTTCAAGTATCCAGGTCCATGTGTCTTGACATCCCACTGAAACATGAAGAATCAAGCATTATCAAAAGGCATCCACCCCGAAGAATTCAAGTAAGATGAATTTAAAAGTCCTTCTTAAAAAATAGCTTTGCTTTAATGCTAAAATCTCCTTCCATCTATAATCATCAAAGAACCTTAAGTACCTTGTAATGAAATTAAATACCATGAAAATGCTGTTACAAAGAATACTGACAATTGCAAAGACCATAGTATTAGAATTTCCTTTAGCAGTGATGTCACTTTTGAGGCTCATAACCCAAAGAAAGTATGCTAACAAGGACTCAGCTAGAGAGTTAAAGAACTCAAATCCAGCACTTAGTTGAATGAGTGTTCAAAAATCACAGCAACTACCACTTCAATTCAAGGCAAACACCACACCAGTCAACTCGGTCTTTGTCATTCATGTAATCCTTTAGCCCAATATAAAAAAGAAAATGTCATCTTTGTTTTCTACACATGGTTCAGAGTGAAGTAACTTGCCAATAGACACTGGAGCTGTTAGCCAGCCCTCTGATTCTTCTAACCATCAGTGTAAATTATCTCTATCTCCCGTTAATTCCGTCCTTTAATCATCCGAGATGCTCCAAGCAGCTGTTGAAGTTGGGGAGACTGGGGCCAGATATAGTGGTGCACACCTTTAATCCTGGTACTCAGGAGGCATATGCAAGCAGATTTCTGTGAATTCAAGGCCAGCCAGGGCTGCATCATGAGATCCTGTCCAAAAGAGAAGAAATGGGGGCAGGGACGCGGGGATTAGGAACATCAGAGCAATAATTTTTTTATGCATAGTATAAATTCTAATAAGACATCTCATTCTAGAAAGGGAAAGAGATTAGAGTGGGTTCTTGGGAATGAGCATCAGATAACAGAAGGCTTGGGACTCTCTCTGAGCAGAGAAAAAGGAGCCACACAAACCCCACCTGCCCCACAACTCACCTGGATGCCTAGACCAGCTCCAGGACTAATGGGAATCTCTGTTGAAGATTGTTTCCATTGCAGGCTGGTCACTTCTCTTCTTTGGAAGCTCAAAATTACTACTTTAATTGATTATTACTTTTAGTTCCAAAAGAGCATTGCTTCCAAAAATATTAGAAAATGCAAAAATATTACTTAGCTCAAGAAAAGTAAAGGGTCCATGTAATAAAGCAATGTCTAATATAAAATTGTGAGCACCTCTCTAGCTTAGCTGAGCAACCCTAAAGCTGGGTTTATTCTTAAACTAAATGTGCTCTTTCAAAGGTGTATTTAATGTACGCCTCTGTGAAACCCTGACACCAGCTAGCCAGGTCAAAAGAAGAAATCACTACAACCAGAGAAAGATATTCATGCTGTAGTCTCTAGTTCGCAGAATAATTTTAAGATTTATCAGTCCCAAATAAGTTAAGGTTAGGCTTTGATTTCCCCCAAATTCAAAAAGAGGAGCTGGCTATTTCAGAGTCTAGCACTATACCCCGCACACCAGCAAAGCTCCCTAAGAATAAAGAATCAAGTTGCAGAATCTGATTGCAAAGACCAGGTAGACTTTACCCAATCTTACATCTTCAGTCACTGATGACAGGTGCAACACTAAAGTCTAGGAATGAATGAGTGAAAAGAGGCTCCTTCCGGCTGGAGGGAAAGCACGCCACTGTACAGGTAGCAGTGTGCTTAATTAAATATAGAGATGTTTTGTTGATCCCGAGAGCTGAGATACACTAGACTCAGCAAAGTTCTGAAAAGCAGAACTCTATGCAGCTTGCCTGAGCTCTCCTCTGTGCTTTAATTTCTCTCCCCCCCCCCCAAAGATCTTTGCTCCTCAGGGCCAACCTAAACTTGAATCTTGTATATCCAGTCAAATGGACAAGATGGCCTGACCATGGCTGAGAGTCCAGTTCCTGTGGAGGAAAGATCTTATTGGCTCAGCTTTTCTGAGTCTAGCTCTGATCCGATGAGCTGGGAGAAGACGCTTATGCTGTAGAAACGTGGGCAGAACCACCCTGTAGGTTCTGGAGTCAGCTAGCAGAGAAAAGGGAAATGGCTAGGAACTTGGCAGACGCTCCCAAAGATATCATCTATAATTATCTGCACAAATGAGGCTCGGCACATTTTCTGCCACAAATGGGTTTTTGAGAGAATAATAAATGCTGGGTTCCCATGACATGCTAATTAATAGCCTGATCTCTGCCAAAGAAAATTCTAAAAGTATTTTTAATTATTAAACCAAGCCTAATTGCATCCTAAATAATTTGGGTTGCGTACTTGGCGCTCCCCAGTTCCTGAACATCTCCACTCCTCAAGCAGAGAGCACCTCTTCCTGGAGGTGAGAGCTGAGCCTCTGCCTGGAGCTCTTAATCAACAGGACTCCCCAACTCCCACTGTGTAAAAGAGTGGATCAGCAGCGCCCCCTCTGGCCTGCCCACCTTCCCCTTCCACCCCGCAGCCCAATAGGAATGCCTTCCAACCAACTCCCCACTCCCCCACACACACATACACATGCACACACACGCCCGCACACACACATGCACGCATACACATGTGCACACCCACACACATGCACGCATACACACATGCACACACACACCAATATTGACCCAAGTAATTCAGCTGGATAATTCTGAGTGCCAGAGAATGTTAAAATTTCATTATCTCTCTAAGGCTCACCCTGAACAACCTATTAACCACTGAGAACCCACCCAGCAGCCCTGATTCCCTCAGCCCCTCTCTATGTGCACACTATCTTCCTCTAAAGATATTGGGAATCCCTAGTTTTAACATGGAAAACCCAAAATATTCCAAAATCCAATTTTATCTAAACAACACTGGCATTACTACAAAAGAAAAATCTTACACCTGATCTCGTGTGCTGGTTTGTTGCCCAAACAGCAGAAACACTACGTAAAATTACCTTTAGCCAGGGCACATAACCAACAAATGAAACAAGCTTTATTGAACTTGGGTCCCATTCCCAAGACATCTCATTACACACATGCAAATATCTGAAAACCCAAAACAAAACCCCATGTTTGAAACACTACTGGTCCCAAGAATTTCAAGTAAGGGCTACTTAACATAGATAATATGTGCAGGAGGATTTTGATAAGTGCTGCCAACGTCCCCAAAGGAAACAGGTGGCACACTGAAATCATAGCAATTCAGGGGTATTTTCTTTGTAACTATCCATGCACAGAAGATTGGTTAAGAGGAACAGCCGAAGATATAGCAGTCAGCATTAGAGGTGGCAGATGGGTAACCAGCTCCAGGCCAAGGCAAGGGGAGAGATTTCTGGAGCCTGAAAGAAAAAGGCCAGATAGAGAAAGCTGGGTTGCAAATAAGAAAGACCCTCCACTGAGGGACACAGTCACCCCGTACCACCTTGTGAAGAATCAGAAGTCCAAATACCTGACCTCATCATCATCCCCTTCCTACTGGCTACACCCATTAGGAAGCCAGAGGCAAGGAGTTGCTGCACGAGTACAGGCAGAGAGCAAGTGTCCAGTGGGTGAGCAGATTTGGAGACCTGGTACCATGGCATTCAATTTCAGGCATTTCTTCCATGCTAAGACTTTCTATCTGCTGAATGTTACATTTTATTGATTTTTGTCCTCATCTATTAAAACAATCACATACACCCACACATAGGATGTGCCAGCCCACACAAAAATAAAAAAAAATGTGGGTTTTCTTTTTGATACAGTGTAGTTGATACAGTGTAGATTTTCTAATACTGAACCGTGCTTGCACTTCTGCCATTAATCTGACCTGGTCTAAGTATCTAAGTGCACGCCTTGCTGAGCTGGATTTCCTAAGGTTTTGTGTGTCCGCTTTAATGAGTGAGACAGAACTATGCTTTTCTAATACACTTTTACACCAGCTTTGCCACCAAGACCGAATTAGTCTTCTAAAATGAAGAGACTTCCCATCCCTCTTTCCCAAAGCATTTGTTATAACACAGGAATTCTCTATTCTCCAACCCGTTAGTAAACATGTCTCCCGTACTCTTCTTAGACTCCTGGACTTGTAAGGGAAATGATCATTTTTCCTACCGGCTTGACTTCTTTACAGTTCTGAGTTGCCTTGTGGATTTTATTCTTGCCAATTGTTTCTTGGAAATTATCCAGTTAACACAAAGCTTTTGAATTTATTGCCATGAAGTCTTATCTTCTTCATATACTATCTTTTGCTAAGTCTTATGAAATGAATCTTCCAGCTTACAGTGTGAAGCCTGTATGCGTGTGTGTGTACATGTGTGCATGTGTGTGTGTGCATACGTGAGTGTGTGTGTGTGTGCGTGTGTGTGTACATGTGTGCATGTGTGTGTGTGCATACGTGAGTGTGTGTGTGCGTGTGTGTGTGTGTGTGCATACGTGAGTGTGTGTGTGTGTGTGTGTGTTGACTAGAGATTAAGGTTGGGTTTTTCCTTTAATCACCCTCCACTTTATGTATTGACAAGAGCCTGGAGTTCACCAATCCAAAGTTCATTTTGTCCTAAGAATCTGTTTTCATCTCCCAAGTGCTAGGTCTAACACCCTAGTGGTGAGCATTTTATCCTCTGAGCCATCCCCAGCCCCAGACACCTTATTCCATGCTTACAGTGCTGTGGGTTGAACCTATGGCCTCATCCATGCTAAAAGAGCATGCCGTACTGCTCAGTTCCCCAGCCCCCCAGCTCTCTCACAATAAGTAACATGGAGGATAACTCAGCCCTGATTTCAAGTTGTGAACCTGGATCTTCTATGGAACGTTTCCTGACCCCCTTTATTCAATATAAATAGCTCACAGACTTCACCTGCCTGTCAGCTCCCCACAAATATTTGCCCTCCTATTCTGTTTTCTGATCTACGGAAATATTTGACTTGGGCTGAAGCCAAGTCGTGTCACGTTGACTGTATTGTTTCCTCTTCCATGGACAACTGTTGGGAACAAGGAATGCCACTGAAGTGTAACTACGTTGCAAGGACTTGATCAGAAATTCTTTCTGGGCCTTAGGTGGTCACCTACATAAAATAAAGCTGTCACAGAACACTTCCTCTACTTCCCAGAGCCTGAAGTCACAGCGCCAGACAAATGCTACATTTTCTGGGAGCTGCTCTGACCCTCCTCCCTTTTCTGACTCATAAAGGAAAACTAGCCTCTTTCAGGTTAGTGTTTATCACCAAGAGCAGCTATCTGTGCTGTATGGACGCTTTGTTTTCCATTATCAAAGCCCTAGCACATACTCCAACTGGCGATATTTATCACGGGCTGTACAGTGAATTAACTCAGAAATCTTCAAACAAATCAGATCTTTCCTAGTATTGAAAATGAAACGTTCCACCCTACCCTTCTCTGAGCACTTCCTTCCAGCACGTTTCCTCTGCAAGGGGCGAAGCCAGGACTCTTTCTTCCCCTTCAGGGCAAGCGATGCGCACGCGAACCCAGGATTCTGAAGCAATGTCACTTGGCTGGCATTTTTAAGTGAAGCCAATTTTCCCAACCATTTCTTTCTGTACGGTTTCTCAGGCTGAAAAATTCTATGCGGCTGGAAATCTGTTTGCAGTGTCGCTTGCTGCCATCTAGTGGCTTTGCAAAGGGAGTGTGCGGTTGTGTTCTTTTTTCAGAAAGTTGCCTGGAAAGTTCTTAAAGATATCTACCATTTAACCTTTATCAGAAATGTGAATCTAAAGAGAAGGCTGAGAACAAAGGAGAGGAGCCTGTTGTGACTCAGACATTCATGCTGTCAAATCAAAATGACTTAAGGATCTAGGCTTCTTCAGACTCAGTTTTCTGACTGCACACACACAGTAGTCCACTTCTGTAGTCCACTCTCCACAAATTCTTTTGTTTATTTGTGACAATGTTGGACCACTCTCGACCCCATCAGTGAGTGTCTCTGGAGGAGTTTTACATGCTATCCATTCCCAAGACGGATCCTGAACCTGGGCAGTCCGCATCTCCAGCGAAGGGCTGCACGGTTTCATTTCACAGTGTGAGGGCATTCTGAGGATCAAGTATTTGCAGGGCAAACAATAAGGCTTAAAACTGGGTACACATCTGAGATGAATCCTAGTGATGCCACTTCCCAGCTGGACAAACTTGGACAGGCCATTAGTCTTTCTAAAATGAGGACCCTCGTAATTCATACACAGAGCTCACCTGAGAATAATGTGTGATGATCAGTTTATTCATGGCCATAGTATGGAATAGTGGCTACACAGCCATGCAGACTCACACATACACAAATCTCGGAGACTCACCCATGCAGAGGAGACACAGACCCTTCTGTTTTTCCTTTTCCCCACGAGTGTCTGGAGGGCTCCCTCTTTTGGGACTCTCCCTCCAGGATCCTGACACAATCCACTGCTACTCCTAAACTAGCACCTTCCTGCCCCGGAAAACTGTGAGCAAGGGGAACGAACAAGCTTCTCTTCCTGTCTCAGTCACCTGTCCTTGCTTCTTTGCTGGACTGAGATACAGGGCCAGACCTCGTGGGAATGATCTCGTAGCCACCGTTGATCACTGCTGAGGACTCTGGGGATGCTTCTCTGGTGAGACTGCGCTAGAGAGCCAGCTCTTGCCTCAAACACAGACTGCCTGGATGGGAAGATCTCAGCTGTCTGAATGAACTGACTCTGCAGGCACATGCATGCATGCGCACACACACATACACACACACACACACGCACGCACACACTGCAGGTCAATGTGAGGGGTCCAGTTTTGTCTCCCATGCTCAGCTTGTAGAGTCCATTGTCATGTCTCCTGACGTGGAGGAGGAGGCAGTGGGCCAGGGCCATGGCTCAGTGGTAAAGCACTTGTTGTGTAGGGGTGAGGGCCAGACTTTGAGAACCCAACACCCACAAAAAAGCTACAACTCCAGGTCTGGAAGTATGCAGTTATGACAGTGCGCATCGGTAACCGTTGGGATGGGAAGAGCTTCATGTAAAGACAGATGGTGCCCAGGGGCTTGGTGGCCAGCCACCTAATGGAAACCATTCGCTACACGGGACATCAACCCTTGGTCTCTACATGTACACACATATATGTGCAACAGAGAGAGAGAGAGGTAGGTTGGGCAAACCCACGGATATACCTCTGCTCAGTCTTAGTGAGCCTTTTATGCTCCCATGAAGCCTAGCCCTTGCTAGACAAAGGTGACTGCCTTTTGTCAGCACTTTGCACTTCCTGTTAAGTGTGTCTTGTCACCCATGGTTACAGAGGGAGCTTCTCTAGAGACTTCCAAATATGTCACTTCCTAAGCCCTGGGACAGCTCAGTTGGTGGTAACGGGAAGGTCAGGTGTGTCTCCGGTCAGGTCAGGTGTGTCTCCGGTGTCTCCATCTCTGCTAGCCTAAACCCCAGCTGTTTGGTAGCTCTGAGCATGGTCCATCAGTCCAGCAGGAAATCGCTTCATTCTCTGACCACGATTTTGATTAATAACTCACTGGAAACGATGTGATAGAACGATAAAGAACCCCAGGGGTCAAAAAGCCTTTCTCACAGATAACTCTGATACTGTGGGCATCACCTTCTCTGCGCATGCCCAGGAGGAAGTTCTGCTTTCGCAGAGTGCTCAGGGAGTTTAACGTCTCTCCTTTTGTGTTTCATCGTCTCGTGCTTGTGGGATGCTGAATACTCTAAACACTGGACCTCTAGAAGCTTGACCCCATTGACCTGCCACAAGTAATTACCTCTGAGCAACTCCTGCGCCAGCCAGAAGCCAGAACAGGACACAAAGCAGAGGTGAGCGTGGCAGCCGCTGACTGGGGGAAGTGGGTGTGACCCGGGCAGCCGCTCTTTTCATGCCTCCCCATTCACACAGGAGTTCAAAGCCGAAGCAGACAGTTCAGTCCTTGTCAGGCAGGATGTTTGAAGCTGTAGCGCTTGTCCATGCCTGCCTCCAACTGGCGAGCGCTCTTCTCTTTTGGATGAGGCCAGGCTCTGTTTGCTTTGTGGATCAAACAGGGCTATGCAGATGAGAGGGGGATTTTACATGGAAACAGGTGATTTTAGAACTTTTAAATCCACAGTGAGGGAAAGCCAGTAAGGCTCTTCCCTTCACCCCTCCTGAGTGGAAAACTAACCCTCTATGCCCTCTCCAGGGAAGATCTTATCCAGAAGTCCTTGGCTTCCAGGTAACAGCCCTGAGAGGTCTCTCAGCTCTGTCCTGCTGAGAGAAAATGAATGCTGTTAGTAGAAGGGTCACTTTCCTGCCCTGACCTGACTCACGCTGGACCCAGCCAGACCCTGCTGTGGGGCTGGGTAAGAGGCACCTGATTGCCACAGGTCCTCAAAGTCACGCTTAAGGTGCTGACTGCGGGGGACAGCCTCCCCATAGACTTCTGCACCGTTGGACACAGTGTCCACAGAGGAGCAGAATCATCGGCTCTCTCCTTCACCTCTGGACAACAGCAAGTGACAAATGAAACTATGTGCACCTCTGCTTGCCCTCGAGAGCCACCTTTTTCATGACGGGAAATTTCATGACAGTCACTGAATTTTATGACAGACTAAGGGAAGACCACCAGACTTCCCAGCAGTCACTTCAAATCCTCCTCAGCTGCCATGCTCTCTCGGGTTTATATTCGGATATGAAAGTATGTTGTAGGGAAATAGGTTCCACTGAACCCCCCAGAGTGTCTCCTCTCACTGCACGGCCAACCCATCAATCGTAGAGGACACAGGAAGAGAAAGGAAGGCCACAGCGGACCAGAACACTTTTCTAGAGAGCTAGGAAAAGCATCTGTTGGCCAGGAAAATGGTATGTTGTCAAAGTGAGATTATCAAAATGAAATCGTCAAAACCCTCACATTCAAGGCTTGCAAAACCCTGCAAGAACCTTTAAGCCAGTCTTAGATGCACAGCACAGTGCTACTTAGTTCTGTGACAGCTGGACAAAGGACTTGTCAGGGACACGGCGGCAGGACACCTTTATCATGACAGGAGATCGGCTACAGATTATGAACGATTAAGACCCACTGCTCCAGGAAGGGTTGAAGGCGGTGGAATTACAATCCCCCATACTAATAGACACGTCATCTCTCACAGCAGGAACCTGGGAAGAAAATGCAGCTCTCCATGTACACCTCTGGGAAGAGACAGTATTTACATAAGATGCAAATGCTGGAGCGGATCCATAAAAGGCAGGAGGTAAAGAGAAGATGGTCACCTTTACCAGATTTGGAGGGCATTGTCACTGTCCCGCTGAGCCAGTCAGTTCTCAGCAGCAGAGCAGAAGCCGCCACTGCCTGAGCTGGGAAAAACAGGAAGATGACCTTTTGCTCCCAGTCTTGATGAGTCCTTACTTTTTCTTTTTTTCTTCTTGCAAGGTTAGATCTGCGCTTCAAACATCCCTTTCTATTTTCCTTTTTGTTTTTATCTACTTCTTTATTTCGTGAGGGCAGAGAACACACACATGTGCCGCAGAAGGAGGACAGTGACTAATTTTGGGTAGTAGGTTTTTTTTTTCCTCCATCATATGGGTTCTGGTCATCAAACTCAGATTGTCAGGCTTGGCAGCAAGCTCCCTTAGTCACTGAGTCATCTCACTGGTCCTTTCTCTTTTCTGTTTGCTTTGTTTTTGAGAAAGGGTCTCATTCTATAACCCTCGCTGGCCTAGAACTCACTCTGTGGGCCAAGATGGCCTCCAGTCTCCTGAGGGTTGGGGTTAAAGATGTGCAAAAGCCTAGTCTGTGCCTCTTTTAAAAAGCTGCCCCTTGGCCCTCTTGCTGTAGCCAGAACATAGAGTAAATCATATTCTTTCCTTGGCTTAGTAAGAGAGGGAATGGAAGTCAGTCTTTATTCTGAGATAAAGACCTCTCCCTAAAATCCATGGCATAGAACTAGTGAGGAGCACCTTCTGCCAGGATGCTTGTACCCCATGCTTGGGAGGCTAGGGAGGAGAACTGCCACAGGATCGAGGCCAGTCTGGGTTACACAGAAAGTTTCAGGACAGCCGAGCTATGGAGTGAAACCCTGTTTCCAAAAGAAGAAACAAGCAAGGCTTTTGTCTTGCTCCATTTCTGCTTCTTTAAGAGAATACTAAAGACACGGTAACTAATAAAGATGATGTCTTAGTCAGGGTTTCAATGGCTGTGAGGAGACACCACAACCACGGCAATTCTTATAAAGGGAAAACATCTCATCGGAGTGGGCTGCTTACATTTAAGAGGTCCAGTCCATTATCATCATGGTGGGATGTAGCTGCATGCAGGCAGACATGGTGCTGGAGAATTAGCCAAGTGTCCTACATCTTGACTTACAGGCAACAAAACATGGTCTCAGACACTGGGTGGTATATTGAGCGTGTATGAGACCTCAAAGCCCAACTCCATAGTGACACACTTCCTCTAACAAGGACACGCCTCCTAAGAACGCCCCTCCCATTAGGGGCCATTTTCTTTCAGACAGCCAGATGGTGACCATATTGAGGTGAGGAAGTCTAAGGCCGAGATACTGGCAGTTGATGCGGCACAGCACAGCGGAGGACATGGCGGGCGACATTGTCAGTGAGAGTGAGAGTGAGGGGTCAGGAGCAACGAGGGCAGCCTTTGCAACCCTCCAGGGAGAGCTGGCCTCCTCCTGTGGTGATAGTTTTACTCTCCACCCAAACATCTCTTAAAGTCCCACCTGCAAATTAGCAAAAGAACTGGGGAGGAGTATGTTTCCAACCTGTGAATTTGGGAGGACACACTGGAACACTTTCTGCGGTAAAGCTCTGCAAATGACTTACCCTTAACCCCCCCCCCCCCCCAGACTCTAAGGATCTAAGGAACTGGTCTGTAGTTATGTCCGCAATTCCAAAGACCCACCTACAGACAAGGGTTGATAGGCAGACTCCTTTCATAGGTGCACGCCTCTACGAGCCAGCGAGCATGCTCGCCTTTCTCCAAACCAGCCTGAGAATAAAGCTGTCACAGAAGGTGATGGGAACAGAGCCATTCTGATGTGTTCAAGGGTGACCAGGTCTGTGAAATGTCCACACTTTGATGTTGCCGTTTGGGAGAATATTAACCACTTTTAGTTTATCATTTCAGGCCCAAATGGAGTTGATGAATAGTCTTCAGAGTGCAACAAGACTTGATATGCAAAAGCAGAAAGACCATAATGGCGATAAAATCACCCAAAGCTTGCCAAGGAACGATAGCTATGACGTTATCACCATACTGCCTGATGAAACCATAAACAGAGACCCAGGTGAGGACTGTCATTCCTTCAGTAGAACATTTCACATTCTGGTGTAGTTTGGCATGGTTTGGTTTGGTGGTTGTTTTAAGACGGGCTTTCATGTAGCTCAGGGTAGCCTCAGACTCACTACGTAGTCAAAGATGACCTTGAACTTCTGATCCCCCTGCATCTGCCTCCCAAGCGCTGCGTTGCACCAGTATGCCAGGTTTGCTTACGCCATGCTGGATAGCAAGGCCGGGGCTTTGTAAACGGCAGGCAAGCACTCCACCAACATAGCTACATGATGCAAACATACATGAAATGTCATCAAATAAATGTCCATTATGGGCAGGGGAAGGAGAGTGAGGAGAAAACCAATAGCTGCCACCGAGGGGAGATTCAGTGTCTCAGAATGAATGGCATGCTGCATTGTGTTTTACCTCTCTTAGAGAAAAAGACAAAAAAAAAAAAAAAGAAAAGAAAAGAAAAGAAAAAAGCACAGAGGTCTTTCTTCTTGTAGATTCCAAGTGCTTTATAGGCACTCCTGAAATCATAAGAGAGGCTCATAGCATCATCTTGTGTCAGAGAGGGAGAGGCTCTTATAGACATGAAGCTGCCTGTGTTTACAGGCCACATGACCGTCAGCCCCTTATCCCTGGAAGCACCCTTTGCCCTGTAGCTCAGTCTTCTTGAGTACCCAGAATACCTACAGTGAATCTAGCACCACTACCCTCTCGCCTGGCTCCTGCTTCATCCGGCATCTCTATGTGGGGGGCCCTCATGTCACTTGGGCCAGAGCTGCATCCTCAGCCCCACACGCTGAAGTTCTAGAAGCACTGTGCTGATCCAGAGTAACCTCATAGAAAACAAATCTGGCCATGTTACTCCCCTGCTAATAAAAACAATCACCAGGACGGGAGAGCTGGCTCAGGGACCCAGAGGACCAAGTTTGCTTCTCAGTACCCATGTAGGGTGGCTCAAAACTGTAACTCCAGCTGCAGGATATCTGGTGTCCTCTTCTAGCCCCCTCCAAAGCCTGCACTCGCATGCCACACAAGAACACAAACACCTACTCGTGAGCAAAAATAAATCTTTAAAAAAAAAAAAAGCAGTCATATTTCTACCAACCTGGGGACAAAAGCTCAGCTCTTTTACAGCCCCCCCCCCCTCGAGCCTTCGGGATCCAGCCAATGCCTATGCTCGGATTTCCTCTCCTGCTGCTCTCTCGACCAGCTCCACCCTCTAACCCAACAGCTATCCTCATCCACACCCTGCCTGCTATGCTGCCCCCACCAGAGTGCCCATTACGTTTTCCCAGTGTGAGGTCCCCAGGAGAAAGCTGCATGCATCCCATCTTGTTCCCAAACAGAGGCTGCTGTGCTGCGGGCACAACCCGCATCGGTAGGGCTGACCATGGTGGAGCGGGTGGCAAGTGAGCTCTACGCTGCAAAATCACCTGCTGAGGGGGACTCTGTCCCCACCCCAAGAGCACAGGTCTCAATCAATAAATTAATTAAACAAAAGTCAGAATAAATGAAAATCAGCTTGAGATATCCCTTTAGCCCATGACCTAGTCTCAGCAAAAACAGGCTTTGCTGTCAAATAAATTTTTGCCACTAAAAAGAGTATTGACAAAACAACTAAGGAAAAGGGGGCTGAGCTAAAGTTAACTCCCAGCCATCGCCCGAGAACAACTATGCTGGCGTTGGAAAATGTGCTGGGCTTGGAGGGACCCAGGAGGGACTGAAGACAAGGGCTTCCCATTGCTTCCCTGAGGCTTCCTAAAGAGGTTTCACTCTGTTCCAACTGCAGTTCTCTCTCTCTCTCCCGCCCCCCTCTCTTCTAAACCTGTAATCCCAGTTCTTGATCACCATGAGTACCTTAAATGACATAGTGAGTTCCAAGCCAACCTGGACTCCACAGTGAGACCCAATCTCAAAATCAGACAAACCAGTTGGTACTGTGATTGCTCATTTAAATCTCACCCAGCTAGAAGGTAGACGTTAACCCTCAGTTAACCCTCACCTGTGTAAGATAGCCAGAGTTCAAGGTCACATCTTCTTGACCTGCCTGCTACCACGACCTCCCTCAGATGTCAAGGATTTGTAGCTTTCTCTAGAACAACCTTGGGAAGTATGCAGGCCCAAAGCTCTGAGCCCTCACCCATCTTTGAAGATGGTCACTTTGAAGCTGAAGAAGGTCACAGATGCTGGCCTTCATATTCTCCTATCCCAGATCTTTGTAGGATGGGAGCAGAAACAGGAAGCCTAGCTGGAGACAGCTACTGACCATACAGGGAGGGAGAGCTGTCTCAACAAATGGAGAGTGGGCCAGTGCAGAATCCAGAAGGGTGGGGAGGGAACACCTTTCCCAGTTCCTATCCTCATCCTACTGAACCAGCATCTCCAGACAGAGGTGGTGGATGAACCCTACATTTAATTCTCCAATTGACTCTGAAGACCAGCTGACCTTAGCTGGCCTGGATCTCAGAGTACAATCAACACATCAACTGTCTGGGAATCTTTTCTCTGCGGTGACTGGATGTGTATGTGAATATACCTGCCAAAATGCATCTAGAAAATGCACCTTGCTAGCAGGAGATAAAAATTCGTATTGTTCTCCATTTAAATGAAATCAAACATGAGAGAGGGATGCCCCTCCCCTCACCCTTTGCCACCTGTGGCAGGTGGAAGAACTGGCCCCAGGGTCATGAGAGTGAAGAGCTGGGTGCAGCATGAGAAATTGGGCCCTGGCCTTCCCTGTGCAGCACAGCAGAACTGGCCCTGGTGGCATGGGTGGAGGTGAGCCAGCCCTGAGGGCATGAGGGAGTAAGAGCTGGCCCTACCCGCTCACCGTCTGTGGCATTGGTGAGCTAGCTGGGGTAGTGCTGGAGAGCTCACCCTGGTGGTGAGGATGCGGAAGAGCTAGTGGGATGTACAACTAACTCAGCTACAGCCCAGGTCCAGACCCAGGGCTGAGAGTTGCCCCGCTCCAACATCCACCTGTGAACTGCTGGAGCATGGGAAGGGGCCACACAGCCACAACAACAGGATATCCAAGAGAAGTCCCAGTGAGGGTCCAGTACCGATCCTCACTGTAGCAGAAGCCAGAGGCCTCAAGCCAGACCAATGACTCATTGCAATGAACATTTGTAAGTGATGATGTATGGACTAAAGGGTGCACTGTGTGACTCACTGAGACACACTACAGCTTAAATGACAAGACTTTTTTTTTTAATTTGGGGAGGAGAGTTGCAAGGGCAGAAGGTGGATATGAAGGGACAGGGAGATGAGTGGGGTGCATGATGTGAAATCCACAAAGAATCAATAAAACGTTAAAAAAATTAGAAAATAGAAAGTTGAAGGATTTTTTTTTTTAAATGAGATCAGATTTAACTAGGATCTCACGGAAGGAGATGTCTGCAGGCAATATCCTCACCTGCTGCTGAGGCTGCTAGAAACGGCGATCTTTTGCTTACTTTCCTGGCTGCTGGGACAATATTGCTGACTAGAGTTCCGCACAAGGAAGAGTTTGTTTTGGTTCACAGTTCCAGGATAGTTTGTCGTGGCAGGAAAGGTATGAGCGCAGGAGTGAGGGGCTGGTCACATTGTGTCTGCCGCCAGGAAGCAGGTAGACACAAATGCCTCCTTCTCTGTCCTTTCTACCCAGTCTGGAAGCCCAGTCTACAGGGTGGTGCCACCCACATTTAGGGTATGTCTTCCTCAATAGACCTCTAGAAGCAAAGTCGCAGGCGCAACCTCTGGTGTGTCTCCTAGGTGATCCCAAAGCCAGTCAAGATGACAATGAAAACCATCACAGGCTGTGACAGAAGTATCGCCACACACTTCTGTGACGATGGAGGGAGTGGGGGGTCACATAATGTCTGCCATTCTCCAGTTGCTTCCGTTCTTGCTGCACAGGGATAATAATGGACAGCTCTAGGATTAGAAAGTGATTTTAATCACAGTACTGAGTTCTCTACAACTCACAAGAGATCATGATTATTCACCTCAGTGTCCCATATAAGGAGAGGAGATGCAGAAAGGACAGGTCCGAGCATCGGGTCCCAGCCAGATGCTCTCAGGCTGCTTCACTCCACGCTTTCATCCTTGATTGCTCTTACCACTGGTTTTAACAAAGGCTCCTTCTCGCTCATCTCAGAGAACCTCTTTGCCTGCTTTCCCTGTCTTCTAAAAGCATTCCCCTTGGCTTTCCCTGTGAGTGGGATGCAGCCAAGCTCAGACACTGACCTGAGCATCCTGGTAGTCAGGAGCTGGCAACACAGGCACCTGTTCCAGCTTCAGCGATTTAATGGAATGGCCACCATTTCTCATTTGCCTCCGGAGGACTGGATGAGAATGTTAGCCTCTTGTGAGACAGAGACAAGCTCTATTTTCTGCTACCTCTTTAAAACAAAACCACCTTTAAATTTTTGATTTATATATTCACATGATAAATCACAATATAGCCGTATGAAATATGTAGTTAAGTACAACATACATGCCATAGCATCACTCCCTGGTGTACAACTCTGCGAGTTTTGCTGTGCTTGTGTGGCCCATGCCCTCTCCAGAGGCATGACTGGGACACAGCTGCAGGAAAGGCACAGAAGATGGGATCAAAGTCCTTTACTGAGCCCCAGCAGTGCGCTCTTCCTGAGAGCAGACACATCTTCCTGTTCCTAGGGCAGGGTCTGACAAGCGTAGTCTCTCAACCATAGATCCTTCTGCATTGTTTTAATTTTTTCAAGAGGAAATATAAATAATTTGTTGTTTCACTTCTGTGACCCTATCTTTCCAGATCTGTAAAATGGGAATAAATAGCCAATGGAGGACACATGTCAGGTTAATCTCATATGTATAAAGGTGAATATAAGGGCTGGGGAGGTTGCTCCACTGGGAAAGTGTTTGTTCCAGGAGCTTGAGGACCTGAGTTCGGATCTTTAGTACCCATGTAAAAAGCCAAGTCAGGGCAGTATGCATCTGTAATCCCAGTTTTAGAGAGGCAAAGATGGCGGGGGAAGGGGATGACCCTCGGGGCTTCGAGGCTTGCTAGCCAACCAAGCTAGCCAACTCAGTGAGCTCTGGGTTCAGTAAGATGGAAAGCAACAGAAGTGACACTTGTCCTAAACCTCTGGCTTCCACATGCACCTGTGCACACACATTCTTCTTCCCCATGTCCCGTGCACAGGCATCAACTGTGAGGCTCAGACAAGTATATAGGAATGTGGATAAAACCGAAGGAAAAAATGATATCTGTATCAGTAATTGCCTCGCCAAAGCAACAAAATACTTGACGGAAGTAACTTAAGGGAGGAGGGCTTATCCTCGCTCACAGTTTCAGTTAGTGAAGTCCAGCAGGGAAAGTACGGGGTCAGGAGTAGCAGGCAGCGGGCCACTCTACATTGGGTCGGGAAGCAGAGGGCAATAAATGCTTATACTCAACTCACTTTCTCTCTTTTATTTGGTCCAAGACCCCAGCCCATAGGATAGTACCACATTCAGGGTGGGTCTTCCCACCTAGCCTAGACAACCCCTTTTGGGCATGCTCAGAGGCTTGTCTCTTCAGGGCTTTTAGAACCAGCCAAGATAACAGCCAACCAACATTAACTACCACAATGTCTTATACTAAACAGCCACTCTAAATCTATTATTCCAGTGTTACCTTCAGAATTCTAATCTTATCTACCCACCTTTACTATTTAACTACTAAACTGCTAGGTGTTTTGGAAAATATATAGCTCCGTCTTTGAACTACTGTGGTGTTACAGTTTTATAAAACTGTGGTGATAAATTTTTCTAAAGCATGTATTATAAATATACAGCAGTCAAACATTCGTCATGCTGATTGCTCTACCACTCAGCTCACTCCTCGTTCCTTTCACACACAACAACACATATTGCCTCCCCCTGAAAACAAAATTAAAGCTTCATCCCAGAGCCTTATACACTGGCCTCTACTCTGCTCACCCAAAATCCATTTAGGTTTCTAAAGATCATGATTTTGGGCTGGCAAGCACACTGGGACAGGAGGGGTTCATGGTTTTTATTCTAACGCAGGTAGTGACGGTGTCTTTTTTCCATTGGCTGGGACCCACCCTCACAGTCTTTTGAAACTGGCTAGTTTTGAAAGAACCGTAGAGAGGAAGTGAAGGGAAGTGGGAAGGGACAGAGCACTAGGTCACTTAGACCAAGAGTACAAAAGGACCTCGGTGTAAATAAGTTTCAACTGGTTTTGTTGGGGGCAGGGGTACGAAGATTAAAACATTTGCATAAAAGAGATGGGGAGACGAAAAGATTTTAATTCCTTGTGGCAAACAACAGTTTAGTGTTTACAGAAAAGGCTAACATTTCATTTTTCTTCCAGTAGTAACCTCAAGTGGGTTATTCTATGGTAAGAGCATTTTAAATACTCAGTCTTAAGGAGACAGTAAAAGAAAGTTTGCCCTTTTTCAGGAAGTTCACAGGATGAAGAATTATTGGACGATCACAGAGAGAATGACTATTGTGTCCGGAAAATTGGCAAAATGGAAGCGTGGCTCCGTGAGCAAGACACCCAAGGACGGCTTTTCTGGAGCAGCTCCAGCTACGACTCAGACGAGTTTGAGAAGGATCAGAAGAGGCCGCAAGCACTGGTGAGGACCAGGACGGAGAGGATCCCACTTTATGATGAGTTTTATGACCGAGAATGAGAAAGCTACTCACGGCCCAGACAGAGAGGAGTGGTTTGCTCGTTTTCATCAAAAGCATTCCTATTTGCATATGAACCACTCAGGGGGAAGTAATTTACATCTGTCTTCTGGAGTCTTGTAGTTCATGGGTTTGTCATGTATGCTCTAGGTCTATGACTTAAAACTGAGGGGCTGAAACAAAGGTCACTTGTTTGTCTTACTTTTCTGTGGGTAGCTGGGCTCAGTGAGGCTGTTGCGTTGGTCTTTTCACATAGCTTATGGAATTTGACAGCAGACGGCAGCTCAGACTAGAGCCACATAAAGGCTGAGTTAGAACACTTTCCATACAGTCCATGCATGGTCTGTGCAGCAAGGTAGTAAATTTTTCCTTTCAACCAGTCCAATGTTTCTAACATCAAATATTCCAGCCGGAGGAAGCTGGAGGACACAGAATTGATGAATGTCTAGTCATTGAACCCACCCTGGACCACTTCCACCATAACCTATCAATTAATGCAAGTCATAGATCAAATGTTAGCAAACGAAGAGTCCACACAAGGAGACAGGTACCAAAAAGGGTGCATCCTGGGGACTTTAAACATCACCTCGCTTGTCAAATCTTGGAACTGGTTTTGCCTTTAGAAGCATGGTGGTAACCAGGCGGTAGTGGTGCACACCTTTAATTCCAGCACTCAGGAAGCAGAGGCAAGTGGATCTCTGTGAGTTTGAGTCCAGCCTGGTCTACACAGTGAGATCCAGGACAGCCAGGGCTACACAGAAACTCAGACTGAGGTCAGGGGAGTGGGGATGAAGAAACATGGTAGCAACTGTAGAAGGAGCAGTGGGCTGCATTCCTGCCACCCAGCTCCCAGCCGCCTGGCTAGCTTATGCCCCAAAATAACAACACACATATTGTATTCATTTAAACACTGCCTGGCCCATTAGTTTCAGCCTCTTACTGGCTAATTCTCACATCTTGCTTAACCCATTTCTAATAATCTGTGTAGCACCACGAAGTCGTGGCTTACCGGGAAAGATTCAGCATGTCTGACCTGGTGGCTGACTCCATAGCGTCTGCCCTGGAAAGGAAAGGCATGGCGATTGCCTAACTTCCCTTCTTCCCAGCATTCTGTTCTGTCTACTCCACCCACCTATGTTCTGACCTATCAGGCCAAGCAGTTTCTTTATCATTAACCAATGAAAGCAACAGATAGACAGATGACTTTCCCACATCAGGCAACATGCCTGTAATCCCGGCACTGGAGAGGCCGAGTCAGGAGGATCATGAAATCAAGACCAGCCTGGGCTACATGACAGAAGTCTGTCTCAATCAAATGATCATCAATAAAGGCAAATCAAATCCTATAAAAATATGAGAACATATTGTGAAAGACCCCCAGTGCTGGGAAGACTCTCACTCAAGTCTCGGGATAACACGACCCCCCCCCCCCAGTAACTCATGAGAAACCATCCTTGCTGCAATCACATGAGGCTTTAATGATGAGATGAGACAGGAACCAGTGCACTGGGGCCGAGACTCATAACCCATGCAGGGGAAAAGTTCGACCCCGAGTGACCTGGAGAAGGGGTTTTTATAGGAAGAAACCACAGCCCAGTAATCCAAAAGGGGCAGGGAGGGTGTTACAGAAAATCACAAGGGGGCAACTCCCTGCCTCTCAAGATCACTCAAGGTCATAATCAGCTAGTTCCTGAAACACAGTATTCCAAAAATGCCTAATGATAATCACAAGGGGGAAACTCCCTGTTTTTTAAGATTATTCTCAAGATTACAATCTAACTTTATCTTCAGCTAGTTCCTGAAACACAGTCACTGAATTGGCTAATCCTGGATTTCTGATTCTTCTCTTCCTGCTTAAATTTTTGGCTATTTTCTTCCTGGGGGGGGGAGCATCTGGATTTATCCAGCTCTTTCAAATTGTATATTTTAAAAAGTGAGTTTTTACAGAAACATCACTGTGATGCTGCAAGCAACACTAGGAACACTGAAGCTACTTTTTACATAAATTGCCCACACAGCAAGGACTCAAGAAAGAGGTGGGAAAGGTAATTGTAGAATTAAAGCTTAAAATCAAGACTACTGCACATAATCTACAAATGGTTTGAATCATTTCAAGTCTCCAAAAATTTGGTAAGACTTTTAAAAAAATCAAAACAAAAACACTTTTTAAAGCCTTCAGTAGGAAATTTCCCAAAAGAAAAAACTAGAGGAAAGCACCACCTAAAATGTGACCTTCGTTCTCCCCAAACCAGTCGCTGAGAGCTAGCCTGTCGAGAAGCTTGTGCCTTCCGAGAGTGGAGGGCTAGCATTGTTCCTTCTTGCATTTTCTTCCTGCATTTTCTCTGCTTCCTTTCTATACTTCTGACAAGAAGCTAATCTGTACCAAAAGATAATTAACAACATTAGGTTGTTTGGCCACCAGCTTTCTCCAAATGGTAAGACCTATCAGAGGATATGCAGATTTCAAAACACCTCTGATGTTGTCATGTGTTTAGAGTGTACCTGGAAGCCTTCAGATAGGAAGGGGAATTCCCAGTATTCAAGATAGTGGCATCAGGGACTAGAGAGGTGGCTCAGCAGCCAAGATCTCGTGTTGGTCTTGCAAAGGCCCCATACTGTGTTCCAGACACCCACAGGGCAGTTCACAACCATCTGTAACTTCAGTTCCAGAGGATCTGATGCCCTCTTCTGACCTTGCAGGCACTGCATGCATATGGTACATGGACATATTTTCAGGCAAAACATCCATACACATACAATAAAAATAAACAAATCTTTTTAAAAAAAAAAAAAAAAAAGTACCCACATGTGTTGTCCAGACTGCTCTGTCACAGATAATTAGACAAGGCTTCCTTCTACAGACTCACGGGGCCATGACTTCCACTAGAGCATGGACCACAGCCTCTCCCTGTGTTATCAATGCCTACACTCCCCAACTGGACATCTGGCATAGAGTTTGTGAATTGCTCAGTTTACATGTTGAGTCACATGTCAATCGGGAGGTACTTGTAGCTCCCAGCTCTGCAGTTGCTTGCACTAAGTCTCCTCGTTTCTCAAGACTTACACACACAAGGTTTGTGCCACAGCGAAGAGACTCCTCAGAAGTTCTTGGAATGCATGCATCGATGTGGATGGCCTCAGACACTGCCGTGAGGTCCAAAAGATATACCCTATGCCAATGAAGACTCCTCGGAGCGCAAAGAGTTTTGCAAAACCACATCAGACTGTGTTCGCGGCAAGGAGAACCGGTCCCAGAGCCTTCTGTGTGGGAGCGGATTTGCTGCCCTGTATCTTCCTTGGCCAGCTTACATGCAGGGCCTGGAAAGAATAACAACAGCTGGAAAGTACGCTGCTTGCGTGAACTGTGCTTGTCTGCCAGGCACTTGTCAACTGCTTCACATGACTACTGCTCCTCACAGAAGTGTTGTGAGCTGGCATTAACATCTCCAACTAACGAGAACAGTGAGACACAGGGGGGTTCAGTGAAGCCAGAGTCATCCAGCAGAACTTCCCTGCAGGCTTGACCATAGTTTACAGAAAGTAACCCACTTGCTGGGAGCCAGGGAACCTTCCCTTCTTTACCAGGTTTACTTCAAAGAATTCAAATGGTGACCAACATCCCATACTTCTATTGCCTGGTTTGTTTGTCTTTGCTTTTTGGAATTTTGTTCATGATCCTAGAGGCTAAGTAACAAGATAAGAAAAACATACATAGATCCACCTGGAAAGGGAAAATAGATAAGATTGCCTGACAAAATTGGGAGCATGGGGGTGGGGGGAGAAGGGAGGGCAGAAGAGAAAGAGGAGGGGAAAGGGGAGGGAGGAGGAGAACTTGGGGGAATTGGATAGATGAGATGGAGGAAGGACAGAGATGAGAGCAAGGAAACAGATGTCTTGATTGAGGGAGCCATTATGCGGCTAGCAAGAAACCTGGCCCTGGAGAAATTCCCAGGAATCCACAAGGATGACCCCAGCTAAGACCTGGTGTGAGACAATTCTGTATTCTGTCAATTATGTTTTAAATCAATGCTGATTGTCCAGCAGCCAGGCAGGAAGTAGAGGCGGGAGAACAAGACAGGAAGTAGAGGTGGGTCAAGAAGAACAGGAGAATTTTGGGAAGGAGGAAGCCCATTTCTCCCCAGTCCTGTCCAGACACCAAAGAAGCAAGATGTGACCTACCTTACTGAAAAAGGTACCGAGCCATGTGGCTAACATAGATAAGAATAATGGGATAATATAAGTTATAAGAGTTAATAAGAATCCTGAGCTAATGGGCCAATCAGTTTTATAACTAATATAGACTTCTGTGTGATTCTTCGGGACCTAACAACTGTGGGAACTGGGCAGGACAGAAACCCCAACAAGCAGGCCTTCATGTTACAAAGACCCCAAGCAAAATAGGGTCTCCAAACTGGCCTTGACCTGTAGTCATATTGATGAATATCTTAAATATCACCATAGAACCTTCATCCAGCAGCTGATGGAAACAGAAGCAGAGAACCACAGTGGAGCACTGGGATGAGCTCCCAAAGTCCAGTTGAAGAGTGGGAGGAGTGAGAATATGAGCAAAGAGGTCAAAACCATGATGGGGACACAGTTTACTTGAACTAATGGGAACTCACTGGCCAGACAGGGAAGGAACCATCATGGGACCAAATTAGGCCCTCTGAATTTGGGTGACAGTTGTATGGCTGGGGCAGACTGAGGGGCAACAGACAGCAGCACCAGGATTCATCCCTACCACTTGTACTGTTTTTTTAGGGACCCATTCTCTTTGAATGGATACCTTGCTCAGCCTAGATATAGTAAGGAGGGCCTTGGACCTTCCCCAAAGCAATGTGCCTTATCCTCTCTAAGTAGATGGGGGGGTGAGATTGGGGTGTCAGGTTGGGAATGGGAGGAGGGGAGGGAGTGGGAACTGGGATTGGTATGTAAAACAAAAAAAGTAGTTTGTTTTCTTTTTAAAAAATAAGTTATAAAAAAGGAAAGAAAATATAGGAGCTCATTGGAAAGGACAAGTGCTCTAGAGGGTTTTTCAGAGCGGGGAAGAATGGCCTGATCGCCAGACAGTGAGCATAGTGGAGGCTCAAAGCACCTGCAGAGAATGGAGACAACTCTACTGGCATCAGTGGGCCTGAAAGCATCTGAGTAAGCCCTGTCCACCCCGACCTCAGCCCCATCCCAGACACATTGGCCACGAGTGGGAACAGCACGACTGGGTGCTGGCCCCAGATGAGAAACACCTGTTGTGTGATCTAAAAGCTAACAGATTCAGGGGTCCTCTTTTTGTTTTGGTGCTGGTATTCAGATACTCAATTGTAGAGGGTTATTTCTTATTGTTAGTAAGTATTTAAATTCTCAAACATGTCCAATCATGACGTTCATTTATGTATTCATTCAAACATTCGTGGGGAGCAGTGTGCAGGCCATGACACACAAGTGGAGATGAGGAAAGACCAATCAAAATCTAAATTGCACTGGGTGTTGGTGGCACACACCTGTGATTCCAGCTCTTGGGAAGGAAGAGGCAGGCAAATCTCTGTGTGTTCAAGGCTAGCCTGGTCTATAAGGCAAATTCCACGACAGCCACAGCTACACAGAGATACCCTGTCTCAAAGAAACAAACAAAAAACTCTAAGTTAGATTTTATTTCTAAAGAAATACCATTTCATTCAGGTACACAATGAACAATGAAGAGCCTAGTCAGTAGTGAAGGCACATTTAAAATACATGCTCACAGTAAGTCTGCAATACATATTCTTTTTTTAATTTTTTAAAGATTTATTTTTATTTTTGTGAATGGGTTTTGCCAGTATGTAAGTGCACTGTGTGTGCCTAGTGCCTTTGGAGGCCTGAAGGTGCCAAATCCCCTGAAACTATAATTACTGTTTGTGAGCTTCTATCTAGGTGCTGGCAACTGAACCTGGGTCCTCCACAAAAGCAGCAAAGGCTCTTAATTGCTGACCCATTTGTCCATCCTACACACTATTCTTTTTTTTTAATATTTATTTATTTATTAGGTATACAATATTCTGTCTGCATGTATGCCTGCAGGCCAGAAGAGGGCACCAGACCTTATTATAGATGGTTGTGAGCCACCATGTGGTTGCTGGGAATTGAACTCAAGACCTTTGGAAGAGCAGGCAATACTCTTAACGACTGAGCCATCTATACAGCCCCCACACTATTCTTTTAATCCTGCATTAGACAACGGCTATGAGCATCCAGTCCAGGCCAAGCACTGTTTCACTTTCTGAGATTATAGCTGTAAATACATGCAATCCAGCAGGAGGTCGTGAGCAGGCAACCGAGTGTACAGTGAAATACACTATGATACAGTGGAAGTCA